CGGTCGCGGTTGCTTTGTGCTGGCGGCCGTGCGCCCCTAGCTCCTTCCAGGCGCGGTTGATGTCAGAGCGCGGCTTCTCCTTCTGGGTCCTGGATCAGCCTCTTGGGGCGTTCCTCCTACCCTGCTCGCTCCTGCCTGGAACCTTCCGAGCCTTCACGACTCCGTGTGTGTGAATTACCTATGTTTTATTCAAATCCAACGGCCCCAAGCCATGTCTGCCATGCCAGCGTGCGGGCCCCCGACAATCCGCCTCCCTACAGTCACAATCACTCACCACCATTACCCACACCCAACACCAAGCCGCTCCCGGTATAGCACCACACGGCCAGGACGCTCACCGGGCCTGACGTCTCTTTATTGTGTCCCTCTGCACTCTCCTTTGCCAAACCCTCTCCTCCTACAAGTCTAGTTGCAAGCGTCGTTGCCGTGTCCCGGATATAGCCTGGCTTTGATTGGCCTAGCTCCTGCTCCCCGTCCACAGGCCAACCTCTCCGTCGTCGACATCCTCCTGCCAAACCAAGGTTGAGTGAAGAGGATAGCGTGCAAACAATAGTTGCTGGACATGACCGCCTGCTCACATTGACCTCGCCGCCTTTCACCACCTCACCTCACCTCACCGTCTCCATCCTCTTGCCGTCCACATGCTCGAGCTACAGCTCCCTCGCCCAATGCCTCACGCCCTGCCGCGGGAGCCTCCCTTCAACCTGTATGCCACGGCACCTCGCAGCTCCTCCAAGCTCGACGCCACGATGCACCTTCCCTACCCCAGTCTCTCTCACAGCTATGAGCAAGCCCCCCGAGCTCCCCTCACACCTCCAGAACTTCCCGGCTCAGCAGTGAGGGTGGTCTCACTACCGCCGAACCAAGGTGCAGGGCATCAGTACGGCTACCAACTGCCTGCAATCGGCAACTCCAGATCAGCAGCAGCTCCCAGAAGTCCCAGCCCGCCAAGGCAACAACCGCAGGCACAAGAGATGGCTCAGACACCGAGGAAGAAGTACACCATATCACCAAACCTCAAGATTCCACCGACCATCAGCACGCCACAAGAGGGTCTTCCTCAATTAGCAGCAGAGGTAATTCCAGGCCCCATCATCTCACCGGGATCCACTAACGATCCATCCAGGTGACATGCCTCTTCTGGTTCGAGAGCTCGGCCACGCTCAAGCAAGTACTTGATACCGCCTCGCCACGCCAGCCCATGCAGCCGCTCGTTCCCGACGCACATCCTACAACTGGTTTCAGGAAGTGGGTAGCAACCATCTTGACGACCACACAGGTTGCCCAAAATGTCATTCTCTTGGCACTGCTTTTCATCTACAGGCTCAAGCAGACCAACCCCACAGTCAAGGGAAAACCTGGCAGCGAATACCGTCTACTGACTGTAGCTCTCATGCTCGGCAACAAGTTCCTCGACGACAACACGTACACGAACAAGACATGGGCCGAGGTCTCGGGTATTTCGGTTCAGGAGGTGCACATCATGGAGGTCGAATTCCTCAGCAACATGCGATACAGTCTATTCACATCAAAGGAGAAGTGGAACGAGTGGCACGGTATTCTGGGCAAGTTCGGAACCTTCTTCGATCGAGCATCCAAGATTCCGGCCTCCGGTGCTGTAAGCCCAGTCGGTCCTCAGAACATGCTAGGCCTCCCGCAGAACTTTGTTCCTTCACCACCAACCCAGCAGCAGACGTCACCACCGACTACGATGATGTACTCCCCGAGCCACATGGCATTCTCCAATACCCCGCTTTTGCAACCACAGGCCACGTCGGCCACGGTATCCCCGATCGGCGCCCTTCCGGAACTCGGACCCATTCAACGCAAACGCAGCGCTGATTACAGTATCGAGCCCCCAATGAAGCGACAGGCCCATGGATTTGCACCTGGCCCCTACAGCAATGCGCCTCCGATTCCGACCCTGCAGACGCCCGTCAATAGGTCATTCGAGCCACCACCATCCGTGAATCGCTTACCCCCTCTGCCAAGTCTTTCGATACCTCCACCTCAGCAGATGCCGCCGACCCAAATGAAGAACTGGTCAGACCTTCCGCTACCAGTTCCCGGTGGCCGCTCCATGGCCATGGTGTACCCCCCGCCCGTCCAATGGCAGCAACCGACTAGCACACCAACATCGTCGGCCCCACCGCCTTACGCCCACAACTACACCCCCTCTACCGATCAGTCTCGTCAAATTAGTCCTTACCCACAGTCTGCAGGTTCCTCTCCAGTAGGCGCCTTCCCGGCAACGGGCTCGAGACAATTATCGCCATCCCATTTCCTTAATCAGCGCCAGTCTCCCTATCGACCGGTTCGTACCGTGCAGACACTACTTGTGCCTCCACCCCAGACGTCCATTCACAACCCTGCGAGGAACATCAGATACGACCAAATGCAGTATCAGCCTCTGGGTCAACCGATGACTGACCGTCGTTCTGGCCTCCTACCATACATGGACCGGAGTGCATGGCCTGAGACCAACCAGTTCAACCAACTTCCTGTTCCCCAACAACCTGTGTTCAGGTGAACGGCCACTCATTACCTTCGTGTAACAACTTTACGAATTTTCTGGGCTTACATGGATTGCCCATCCTTTAGTCCAGAGGACATGATATTTGCTGCGTTCGAGCGTGCATTGCATTGGGTGGTTCTTTCGGTGAGCATCTCATTGATCAATAGATTTGATCAGCACTTTCTTTACATTACCACTGCATCAACAGGCGTTATTGTATATGTAGTCTTTTGCCTGATCGACACTTTATGTGTTCGTGTTCCAGGGCTTGATATGATGGCGTTCCGAGAGCCCGACTTGCGTAGGCCCGAGTCCAAGGATTATTGTGTGCTAAGCACCAATGCATTAGAATAGCAAACCCTCAAATGGTGTATAATCCAAAATAAAGTACAACTACCTCACTCTTACATCATACATTTCTCCCAGTGTAATTCAGCGACATGACATTGTTAATCCTCTTCTGTTGTGGTTCACATGACGGCTGCTGGCAACTGTGGGGACACTTATCATTCCTGCAAGGCTTTAGATCCACGTAAAACCGTTGTATTTGACTGGGTTATGCTTTGAATGGGTATAGGTTCATGAGTTGGATATGAGATAGTCCGAGTGGACGTTCATATGCTATCCAGGTATACAACCTGGTAAATATTATCATGCTCAAGCTAGGTGCATGAAGTCCGGGTATATATATACCCTTCCCTGGATATCTAGGTCTATTTGTTAAGAGAATCGAAGACGAAGTACAAGTCTATGGCATAGAACCGATAAATTCATTCCTAAAAGCTGCGTAGGTTGACGATCATTTGCTGGGTGGGGGATCTCAGTGGGAGGGAGATGTGTGTGTAGCATATTAGGAAGGCAAAGCACAACGTCTATTTGCGCATAAATTCATAACAACGCAACCAACGGACTTGAGAGAGAGTAATCAAGAAATCGTGTTTATGAGGAGGGCGCAAAGTGTTTGTAGTTGTTTGTAGACTTTTTCACATGTCGGTTGTTGCCTACAAAGTGATTTTGGGAAACTTGGCACGGTACGAAGTGCGTCGTACAGCCTTACGCGCGCCAAGCCGCTTGCAAGAGCCGCGGCAGCGCGTTCGCGGTTCACTCTAGGTTTGCACATTTCCTCTATACTCCATCCCACCTCTGCAAACCGTAACTATGCCGCCACCGAAATCCAAAAAACTCACCGCGCAACCAGTGCGAACGCGCCAATTCGCCGGCAAACCCACAGCTGCACCTGAACCCGAAGAACGCTCAAGCTCAGAATCAGAGTCGGAGGAGGAACAGCCAAAGCCAAAACCTTTTGCGAAACCAAAGCCCGCACCCATCGCATCGTCGTTTCCCAAGTCGGCGCTCAAAGCAAAACTTGCATCGCGGCAGAAATCCGAGGCGGAGCGCAAGGCGCTAGAAGACGAGTTCGAAACAGAAAGCGAGGAAGAGGAGGGCGGCGAAGATGGCAGCGGGAGTGAAAGCGGCAGCGGCAGTGAAGAAGAGTCTTCTGAGGAGGAGTCAAGTAGCGAAGAAGAGGCACCGAAGAAACTACTGCGCCCAGTGTTTCTGAAGAAGAACGAGCGGAACAAAGTCGCACCTGTCAAATCAGCAGAGGAGATAGCGGCAGAAGAGGAAGCGCGGCGGCAGGAGCAAAACAGAGCGCTTGTACAAGAGCAGGTCGAGCAGCGCATAGCCGAGAAGGCGGCGGGCAAGAAAGACTGGGATGACGACGTGGAAGACGCCGACATCAACGCCATCGACGACACAGACGGTGTAGACCCCGACGCCGAATATGCCGCCTGGAAGCTGCGCGAGCTCAAGCGCATTAAGCGCGAACGTCTCGCGATCGAAGAAGCCGAAGCAGAGCGCGCAGAGATCGAGCGCCGCCGCAACTTATCCGCCGCCGAACGCGAAGCCGAAGACCGCGCCTTCATCGAGAAACAACAAGAAGAAAAGGGCGACCGGGGGCAAATGCAGTACATGCAGAAGTACTTCCACAAGGGCGCCTTCTTCACAGACGAGCTCAAGGAACTGGGTGTGGACAGAAGGAACCTCATGAACGCGCGCTTCGAAGATGAGACGAATCGCGAGATTCTTCCCGAGTACATGCAGATCAGAGACATGACAAAACTGGGCAAGAAGGGTCGGACACGCTACAGGGACATGAAGACCGAAGATACCGGCAAATGGGGTGACTTCGGTGATGACCGGCCGCGGAGAGACAAGGGCGATTTCAGTGTCGACGAGAGATTCAGACCTGATGCTTATGGTGGAAGAGATCGGGATAGAGAGGGCCCTTCTGGCGCAAACGCGAAGCCACTTGGCGAGAGGAAGAGGTTCGGCGACGATCACGACCGGGATAGTAAGCGCCCGAAGATGGAAGAGCGGGCTTAAAGCGTGTGATTATTATCATTTTGGCGTTGACAGCATTGGGCGGCGTACTAGCAACTACGGAACATGAATACCATACCCACCGACTTCAGTTGTCGGCTCATTACTCTTCACGAACCCTCTCGTACGTTCCCCGTCCCTGGGCATCTCCGTCTGCCATCGCGCGCGCATCTTCTCTCCCCTTTTCCACATCCAACCGCCACAGTAACGGTGCCGGCAACACCACCAGGACCGCCAGGAAGATGAACGCCGGGCGTATCGTGGCCGCCTGGTCAACGATGAACCCGACAAGAGCTGGGCCGAATGCACTGCTACCTTTATCTGTAACAGCATACAGCGCGAAGAACGCTGCTTCACTGCCCTCAGGTATCAAAGGCGCGTAGACGGACCGCGCATAAGAAGATATACCACCCATGACTATCCCATGAATGACTGCAATGGGGTAGATCTCCCATGCTTTCTGCAGACCGATGAACCCCAAGCTCTTGAACATGGGTATGTATCCGAGTAAGCCATAGAGAGGGATGATCTCCATGCCCGCTACACAACACAGTAGTACGGTCTTTGGCTGTAGTGCAAAGCGCCGTTGCACATGCGGCCATGCAAACGCGCCTACGATACCAGATCCGATAGATGTGATGGACAGTAGCGCGATGGCAATGGTACCCATGTGCAACTCGGTGCGTGCGAAGAGGACCGCCGTTCCAGAGATGGTCGCCACTGCATCCGACAGCAGGAACCACGATATCAGGAAAAGTAGCGTCTGGCGTAGCTTTATGGCTCTCCGAAGTGTGCCGTAGAAGCTGCGCAAGGAGAAGGATGTGTAGAACAAAAACGTTCTTATCCTTGACGATGACTTTCCTCCGGCAAAGCTCTGCGTAGTCTGTGTGGGTAGTGGTGGACCTGGTCTTGGACGTAGCCATAATAGTGTTGGGATGGAGAATATAGCCCACCATAGACCGACCATTAGCAGAATCATGCGGATCGAGAGACTGGGCGACGTTTTCGACAGAGCCGTTTTGTTGAAGAGCACTATGATTAGGATGCTCAAGATCTGGACGAAGACGGCGGACATGTAACCATATCCCACGCCTTTACTAGAGATCTGCGCGCTTCTTTCTAGATCCCGCTTCAATCGATCAGGGTCAAAACGAGCATGGGTAGAAGATGGTCCATTGGTCGGGTTCAAGGACTCCAGCTCGACATCCGAGGCGGAGTCGGAAGATGACGATTTCCCAAGCGTATTGTTATCTGGATGATTGGCGACGAGCAGTGGTAAGAATGCGTTTAGCAAGACGAATGAACAGCCTAGACTCGAAACTCCGACGATGACTAGAATAGGAGCGAGGTAGTATAATGATGGTGAGATGAAGATGAAAAGACAGCTGGCTAGTGAGCCCATGTATGATGTGAACATGAGCATCTTCTTGCGATATGGGCCTTGAGATGTTGTTAGTCCTGGTCAAACGTATGAGATACTAAACAATGCTACACTTACCATGATCGGCGAAGGAACTGAAACATATCAAGACCACTGCTTGAAGTAATACTGCCGTAGAGAACGTGTACATGGCGAAACTACTCGTCGACATGTCCCTCCCCAGGTACCTCACCATACATTGCTCAGAGTCTCCGACTTTCTTGTCTGCATCGTCGCGTATCCGGAGTTTTCCGGATGCGGTATGGTCGACACACGGTTTCGAGTGATCGGAGAAGAAGACGCCATTTTCTCGTGCGAGTTGCTCGAGGATTACTGGGAGGAATGCGCCTTGAATTCGTAAGTAAGACGCGAAAATCGATACATGTGTATGGTGGTGGTTGCGTGGGCAGGGTGGAAGAGAAGGCTATGACGTACCGACTGCGACTACAGCGAAGACTTCGGCTGCGATTGGGTACGCATACCAAGCCTTCAATTCGCGATCGGTAGTAGGGCTCGTGTCTTCGCCTTCGTATTTGATGCGCGGGCTGGATACGAGCGTGTCGTCATCGTCGAGATCGTCATTAAAAGACATGTTTGTTTGTTGTTAGGGTTTTCGAGAGTCACATTGGATAGAGCGCTGACTGTTTGACGATTCCGATGGGTGCCGGGCTCTTGCCGAGTGGGTCGCGGGTGGTGGGGCGGCTTCCAAGAACGAGGCTTATCATGCCAGGAGCCTCATTCTTCTTCTTCTACGCTGGGAAGCTGCGTTTCGACAAGGACTTCTTTATTCTTTTGAAACACCCTACAAAAACGATAAAGCATGTTCCGTTCAGTGTCAGGATAGGCCCATCTAGCTGGACGCCGTGTTTCAATGACGCGTTGCATCATTGACTTTCTATTAGCGTCATGGAACCGGCTGCAAGCTTCACGCACAGAGCCTCTGGTTCCCAGAAGTATGCCGGTTGAGATGCATGTCTGACTGCTCAGTGGTCTTCTTACAAACATTAAATCTGATGCTTGACTATGGCAGTTACTTTGCGAAGCCGTCGAACGACTTCTGACACTCCACGAGCGAAGCGAAAGATCAATGCCGCACCTAAAACACGCAAGCCTTCAGCAAGGACGCCCACCCGGGTAGATACCGAAGACCACCCAGTCGTCATCGCAACACCCTCAGGTTTTCCTTTTGAGCTCCAGCCTGCAAAGTATGGCCTCATTCAAGAGCGTGTTTGCGACAGCTTGTATGCATTGGTAGTCCAAGCAATCCTATGGAACCAGACTCGGGGCCAAATGGCACGTCCAGTGCTTTTCAGTTTACTCGTAGCCTATCCAACGCCAAATGAGCTCTCCACCGCATCTCTCGAAGATCTGACAACAATGTTGCAGCCCATAGGCCTCCACCGGATTCGAGCGGCCCGCCTTATAGCACTGGCTGAAGCCTGGCTTTCCGCTCCTCCAAGTAAAGAGAGAAGGTACAGGAGGTTACATTATCCTGACCGTGGATGTGGTGCAGATGTCAAGCCAGGAGAAGTGTTGGGGCCTGACGATGAAAGAGAAGGTTGGGAGATCGCGCACCTGCCGGGTATGGGCGCGTATGCGCTTGACAGCTATCGCATCTTCTATCGCGATCGATTGAGAGGCATTGAAGTTAAGGATGATGTTGAGCCCGAATGGAAAAGAGTCATGCCGACGGACAAAGAGTTATACCATTTTCTGAAGTGGAGGCGGGAAGAACAGCGTTGATGACTAAAGCGCGCGAACAATACACAGTCTCTCCATTCGTACGGCCTGAAAGTCCGCTACCAGACGTTTTTGAGCGTACAGGAATGTTCGTATCTACCGGAAAAGCAATGCTGGCTCGCATAGTAAATTGTCGAGACGCTGTGATGTGCTTCGTCCTGGCGCGCGCGTTGACAAGTCGAACCATTTCGGAGTCCGAACAACAAATCACCACCATCGCTACCCCGCCAAAACGCTTTTGTAGGAATCTGGAAACTTGAGCGAGCCGGATCGAATTAGACATGCAAGCGTCACCTCTCTGACCACCAAAATATTACTGGCGCGTTAGTTGCTTTTCATGGTTGCTACAATGTAAGCTGTGCGACAGTAAGGAGCCAGTTAGGAAGCTGTAAGCGACGCACGGGAAAACGTTGAATGCAAGGCGTACGCCCCAACTTTGGCCAAATCGGCTGCGGGTAAATGACGATTTTGCAAGATCTCTCATCCAGACGACAACGGCCGTAAGCATCGTTAACATACCTCGGCGTCGGCGCAGCAATGCTACCACGCGGCACAGAATGCGTTCACCTCGAGTCGCTTCACGCACCAAAATAGAGAATCGGGAAGGGAATATGGTGGAGTGAATGGCATAAGAGGGGCGGATGTATCGTCACTTCTGCGTTTGGTTATCCCGTGCTAGTTCGCGCCTGACCTTTGTCCCCCTTCCACGTCGAGGAACGTAAACAGAAAGCTCGCCTAGTTCACCGTCCACGCGACTACTTCCTCCACAACAGCTTCGTCGCAAACTACCAAGACACACCAAAATGAACGTCGAGAAACCCTCCAGTACGCCAATGGCTCTGGAACCACTCAACATCACCGAAGATGAAGAAAAGCGGGCTCAGTCGACTATTGGACCCGAGACCACCCCCAGTCCTAATACAGCGCCTGGAATTGCAACATGGAAGTTGGTCTGCTTGTATATTAGGTAAAGGTACCGCAAAATCTCAGCATGTTCATCTAGCTAATGCGCACTGCCTAGTATCTGCATTGGCCTATTCCTCTCGTTTCTGGACACATCCATTATTGCAACTGCCATATACACAATCGGGGTCGACTTCCAGTCCTTATCCAAGGTGAATTGGATTGCCTTGTCCTACACACTTGCCTACATTGGCTGCACCGCCATCTTCGCAAGCCTCTCCGATGTAGTCGGTCGCCGCAACGCCTACCTCGCCGCCTATGTCATCTTTCTCGCTTTTTCAGTCGGCTGTGGCTTCGCTCAATCCCTCGAACAGCTTATCGCTATGCGTGCGCTACAGGGAGTCGGTGGCTCGGGCTTGTATTCAGTGGGCTTCGTCATACTGGGTGAGATCAGCCCGCCGCGCGTGATTGGTATGCTGGGCGCTATGGCAGGAGCCATTATTGCGATGTCGGGAATCTTGGGGCCAGTGCTGGGCGGTGTCATCACCAGCTACACATCCTGGCGGTGGATTTTCTGGATCAATGCCCCGATCGGAATCATTCCTTTGATCCTTTTCGTACTGGTTTGGTCCAACGACGCCCTTATTCACGGCGTTAGTCGTCGCAGATTCAAACAGGTCGACTTCCTAGGCTGCCTTCTCTTGGTCGCTGCTTCCGTGCCCTTTGTCATTGCGTTCCAGCAAGCCGGCATCCACGTCCTCATGAACAGCTCCATTTGGTCGTCTGCCCTCTTCGTTGCTCCGCTCATCGTTGGTGTGCTCTGCTTTGCCGCACTCTTCACTTGGGAGTGGTTTATTGCAAGACGTTGGCCTGACGCGATTGCTGCACTCTTCCCAATGCGACTAGCCAAGAACAGAGTCTACATGTCTGCACTCGCTACGACGCTGTTGATAGGCTTCCCCTACTTCGTCATCATATACTCGCTGCCAACACGGTTCCAGGTCGTCAACGGGAAGAGTGCTATTGGATCGGGCGTTGCTTTGCTGCCTATGCTTGGTTCCTCTGCCATTGGATCGACTCTCGCTGGTGCGGCGTCGAGTAAGAAGAATAACACGTTTGCGGTCAACGTCATTGGTGCTGCCCTCATGCTTATTGGAACCGCAACCTTGTCTACACTCGATAATACTTTCGCCCCGCAAGCTCGAGCCTATGGTCTACAGGTTTTTGTCGGATTGGGCTTCGGATTGACAGTCAGCAATTCGACTCTACTAGCTGGCATTGAATCGGAGCCACGCGACACCGCAGTCGCACAAGGCCTAATGGCGCAAGTGCGTGTGCTAGGGGGTAGCGTTGGTATTGCTGCGTCAACAGCTATCCTGGGCATCAAAGAGCGTCAAGAGCTTCTCGACTCGCTGATTGTAGAGGGCGCGCAGTTGGAGTCACTTGCTGAGTCTATGCGGACCCTTCCTCCCAACAAAGTTTTCGCTATTCGCCAGACATACTCAGATGCTTTCAACGAGACTCTTGTGGCTTGCGCAGTTATCAGCGGTGTGGCCCTCCTGGCGACGCTCGCAGCGTGGCGGAAACATCCCACTGCTATGAGAAATAGAACATAGCATTTGGTCGGATGATGGGTAGTCTGCGCGCCCATGCGCACGATGCAAGGAACTCGTCTAAATAGAGAGATCTGAAAGACAGGAGTCTGATATTTCTTGTTCACGCGAACTGGCATGACTTTGGGAAGGACTGCATCAGTCACAGCAGGAAGGGCTCTGTCCCTGCCGGACCAACCAGGGCTCTGTCTGTGGGGCCAGCTACTCAATTAGGAAATCTTTGCAAAAACCGTGGACTGCGGTGGAGAGGGCACTGTGGGTCGCTGCTCCCGTGGAACAGGACTTGATTGGCCCGACAGGGCTAGATACCCGATGGGGAAAGTTTTACAAAAGCTGTTGATCGCGGCGGGGAGGGCTCTGTGGGTCTGCTGTCCCTGTGGGCGGGAAGCTGATTGGCCAGGTAGGGCTAGCTACCTGATTGGGAAGGTTCTGCAGCATCTGTAGATCGCGGCAGTCTTGGCAGATAGGGCCAGGATCGGCCCTGTGCAGCCTATCAGAGTCCTCCAGGCAGGGCCGTCTACACGTCCCAGCCTCCTCTCTTCTCTCACGGCATCAAGCTTTGAGCAACCGGTGCAGCACCACCATGATAGTAAAACAATATGTGTATTTTGCAATCTACATCAATCTCCGATACTATTGTGCCATACAGGAAAGGACTGAAGTTCTGAACTAACGAGAACGCTCCAATCTTTACGTACTCACATGTCTACATCTAGGGCTCCACATCCATCATAGGAACCTGATCCTCATTCTTCGCCTCCGCCAACCCCTCTCTCTTCCTGGGCGGTTCCTCCGGCACCGGGTTTTGATCCTGCGGCGGCTGCGGCATCTGCGGCACCATAGGCTGCAAGTTCGGTGGCGTAGGCTTGAGTCCGTTGGCGAAGATCTCATTCGCAATCTCCATCCCCAGAGGCACACCACCAATGGGGTAGTCGCCCTCGATGCCCTGCCTCGTGCCTCTAGTCTTGTACCTGATGTCCTCTGGGTTCTTGAACAGAGCCGCGCCCGCCTCATCGACGGCGTACATGTCTTTCTTCGTGGTAGGCACCAAGATGTCCTTTGCGGCCGCAGCGTCGAAGCGCCAGTGCACACCGAGGAAGATGCGCGAGATGGCGTTTTCAAACATCATCTCCCAGCACGAAGAGAACTGGCGGGGGACACGGGTGCGCACGGTACCGGGTTGATCGGTGATCTCGCGTTCGAGCATGTAGGGTTGGCGGAGATCACGGCTGATGCCGTTGAGTTCGTCGGATACAAAGTCGATGGCGATGTTGTCCGGCGCGTCGTCCTGCCAGCTTCCGATGCGGCCGTTGTAGTACCTGCGTACCATCTGGAA